GAATAGGATGGGATCAGGAGACCAATGCTTTGTGACTTAAACCAGGTCATCTTCCTCAAATGACTTAAAGACCTATAAACTATATATTGCTTATCACTTATTCATTTCACCTGGAGCAAATATGAATCGACTCTGTATCACTGAGCTGGAACCCCCTGCCTTTGATACATGATTTGAATTGGGTAGTGGTACAAGGGAGTTCAGCTATCCCACTTTGGGCCAGCTGGCATAATCTTTATCCAACCCCAATCAATATACAGTAGTCAAAGGATCATGATCATTGTTACCCTGGTGTGAGGAAACTTTTATCTTCCACGAGAGTAGGGCTGGGATGATGTTATCCTTTGAACACCTTAAATTGCTTTGAAGGAAAATGTAAACAAGAACTATTTATCAGAGAACACAGTTGCTTTCAGGATCTGCTGCTTTGAATCTATTGTGCTTGTGGCCTTTTTTATCGGACTCATTTTCTTCTTTCTGAGTATTATCACCTCAATCTACTTGGAGTTGATTTTCAGCTAACTAGATTTCAGAGCCTGATTTTATGTCTTATCTAGTTCCTCAAAGTTTAAACCAAGAAAACCTACAAATATATATTCCTTGTCAGTGATTTTTTTCTTAACTGCGTTAGCTCTTCATTCTGTGGAAACAGGTATGAGATTTAGAGGTCACCTAGGGATTTGTGAAGAGTGACATCATTTAGGAGTTACTGATCATTTCAGTACAAGGACTAAATGGAAGCATTCTTGCAGAGTTGGTGAAAATGCCCATTTGGTTCTGAATCTGTGGTTGCCCAAAACTACTTTTTCTTTTATGAAAATGGAAAAGAAATGTTTTCTAGATCAGTGGTCGCCAACCTTTTGAATCTCACAGACCACCAGTGGTCCGTGGACCATGAGTTGGCGACCACTGTTCTAGATGGCTGGTGAATAATTTTCCTCTGGAGGGGAGAAGAAAATGGCTGTTTAGTAGTTAATTACCATTTATATTAGACAGCTGTGAAAATTATGAGGCATGAAAGAAGAGTCCACCACACCTCCCCTCGTGGTTAGGCTGGAAGCCAGGTGATGATAGGAGTCGTGTTGTCTTAGGTAAGGACAGTAGCAACTTCCTGAAGAGTCTGTCACTGAATCTGAATGGTTGCTTTGAGTTGCTTGCTTGATCTGATAGCCCACAATGTCTATTGTACTATGTCAGTGATCCTAAATCTAGCATTCTCTCTGGATATGACATCAGAGTTTATCTACATTCTTCACAAATATGAATTCCCCTTTCTTAATTTACTCTTTCTCTGAGTCAGCTGCATTTTAGTCTTTGCCTCTCAGACCAGAAATTCCTTTCTTGTCTCTGACTTGTTAGTGTATAATGTGGTCCCTAATGCCCAGGCTACAGTTGCAGAGATTGTATGTTTTTGGAGGTTCTGAGGCTCTGCCAAGCTGACTTTGCTATAATGCATTTTGCCATGAAAATTAATCTCTTTTCCCAATGCATAGGCCTTACTTTTCTTTATTCCTTGTAGGCTGCTTTGTTCTTCAGCTCTGTTTCTTATAAGCCTCTCAAAGTTCAGCGATAGAGCTAGGGAAAAGGGATATTCACATGAAACTTGGATTTAGATTCAGTTGGGAGAGTTGATTTTTATTTCATTGAATTTATTGGGGTGACATTGGTGCACAAGGGAAAGTTGATTTTAATATTTATCTTTACTGTGAGGCATGAATAGGTCCAAGGAACCTCTTGTTCTATAATATCATTTATCCAACCTTTCCCCCTTTATTTGACATTTGCTTACTGTGGTAATATATCAGGATACTTTTTAGTAAACATAGGGTCTTATTGAATACTTGACAAGACACACAAGTTTTAATTTAGCTTGAGGGATAACAGATTAAAGAAGAGCACCTGCTTTTACCCAGAGTTAAAATCCTAGGAGTGTCTAGTTCACAACCTATGCGTATTCAGTATTATTAAGTTAACCTTAATGCACAAGTTAGTAAATTTCTTATTCTTTCATTCAATTAAGTATTTATTGATTGACTTACTATATGCCAGACAAGATTGGTGCTGAGAAGGAAATTTTGACAAAAATCTCTGCCTTCGTGGAGCTTTCGTCCTATTAAGGGGAGGGCAAATTAAAAAACTTAAATAAGTAGTCCCAGCCAAGTGGGTCAGTTGATTGAAGTGTCACCCATACAACAAAAAGTTTCAGACTCGAGACTTGATTCCCCGTCAGGTCACATATCTGGGTTGGTGTTCAGTTCCCAGTCGGGTGTATATGGGAGGCAACTAATTGATGTTTCTCACTCACATCCCCTTCCTCTCTCTCTAAAATCAATAAAAACATATCCTCAGATGAGGATTAAAAAAAAGTTATTGAAGAGAAAAACAATAATAATTCCTTCTTTTTTATCTGTCCCCCCCCCCCCCAACTCCTGGTACTTTGTGTTTCTATGAATTTGCCTATTCTATATAAGTAGTATCATACAATATTTGCCCTTTGTGTCTGGTTTATTTTATTTAGTATGATTTTTCAAGGTTTATCCATTTTGTATCAGAATTTCATTTCTTTTTAATGTATTTTTTATTGATTTCAGAAAGGCAGGGAGAGAGATAGAAACATCAATGATGAGAGAGAATCATCAATCAACTGCCTCCTGCATGCCCCTCTACTGGGGATCAAGCCCACAACCTGATTGAACTGTGCCCTGATTGAACTGTGACCTCCTAGTTCATAGGTCAATGCTTAACTACTGAGCCACACTGGCCGGGCTCATTTCTTTTTAAGGCTGAATAATATTCATTTTATGCAAATACCACATTTTGTTTATTCATTAACCTACTGATGAATTGTGGAAACTAGTGGCTAGTGTGAATAAATGCTGCTGTGAACATTTATGTGTTTGTGTCCCTTTCAGTTCTTTTGGGTATATACCTGGAAGTGGAATTGCTGAATTATATGGTAATTTTGTGGTTAGCTTTTTAAAGAACTCCAAACTGCTACAGCGGTTGTACCATTTTACATTCACACCAACAATGCATAAGGGTTTTAATTTTTATCATTACTAATGCTTGTTATTGTCCATGTTTTTCTGTTTTTGTTTTGTTTTATAATAGCCATCCTAGTGAGCAAGAAGCGATACCTCATTTAAAAAAATATATATATTTTATTGATTTTTTACAGAGAGGAAGGGAGAGAGATAGAAAGCTAGAAATGTCGATGAGAGAGAAACATCGGCCAGCTGCCTCTTGCACACCCCCTACCGGGGATGTGCCCGCAACCAATGTACATGCCCTTGACCGGAATCGAAACTGGGACTTTTCAGTCCTCAGACCGACACTCTACCACTGAGCCAAACAGGCTTTGGTGCAATACCTCATTTTGATATGCATTTTAAGGACCTTGTTTTCCCTCCAGTTTTATTGAGATTTGATTGACATCTAACATTGTATAATATCAAGTCATTATGTTGTACACCTTAAACCAATACATATATAAATGATTACCACAATATGTTTAGATACCATCTATCACCTCTCATAGTTTAGAGGCCCAGGAGAGAAGAGGTCTAAGACCTGATTCCTAAAGCATACTAACATTTAAAGAATGGGGAGATGAAGGGCAGTCAGTAAAGCAACAAAACCAGGAAGAGAATGGTATTCTGGAAGTCAACTGAGGAATGTGTTCAAGAATGAGGGAGAGTCCGAAACTGGTTTGGCTCAGTGGATAGAGTATCAGTCTGCGGACTGAAAGGTCCCAGGTTCGATTCTAGTCAAAGGCATGTACATTGGTTGTGGGCACATCCCCCGGTAGGGGGTGTGCAGGAGGCAGCTGATGGATGTTTCTCTCTCATTGATGTTTCTAGCTCTCTATCCCTTTCCCCTTTTCTCTGTAAAAAATCAATAATATATATTTTTTAAAAAAGAATGAGGGAAAGGAGAAATCAAGATGGCAGCATAGGTAAACACCTGAACTTGCTGCCTCATACAACAACTTCAAAACTACAATTAAAAGATAAAATAGACATCACCCAGAACCATAGGAAGGCTGGCTAAGTGAAAATTCTACAACTAGAAGGGAAGAGAAAAGCACACTGAGACTTAGAGGACACATCTTGGCAGGTGAAAAAGAGTGGAAAATAATTTCATACTCTTGATGGTAATTCTAGGAAAAAGGCTCCTCTGGTAATGAAATCTGACCCATAGTCCTATGAAACATATTTGTTGAACACGCTAAACACAAGACATCCAAGATAGGAAAAAATGAAACAATAGGTCAGTTGTGCATTGCAGGAGAGCACTTTATGCCAATCCCCAATTGTTCCTTAAATTGTGATTGCATGGTCAGTATAATCTTACTCTAGATGTGTCTGTCTTTGCAGAAGGAATAAAAATCCAAAGTATTCACATAGATTTGTTTTGTGTTAAGATATCCAAAGGAGACTTCTAAATAATTTTCAGAATTGCTCTATCAGTTACCTTTTCACCCTAAGTTTGGAATGCATCCAGCAAAACAGCTTTTTCATGTTCATACCTTTCAGAATGAATCATCTTCCTTCCCTTTAGTGAGATAAGAACTCTGTTGACTGTTTTTAGCAGAATTTTTACAAATGTTCTGTTTTCACCTAAATTTTCCAGTGTTTCATTTGAGTTGAACCTAAGGGGTGCCCAATGTTCCTGAAGTAGACCTCTGAATCTCATACTTCATAGTCGCTTAAATTAAAGGAGCAGGCAGTCTTATTCTGGGACGATCTCAGGCATCCTCTTCCCCCCCCCCCCCCCTTTTCTTAAAAAAAAAATGGCAGGCAATAAACTACGTAAGAATACTGTGCTAAGGCCTCAGAAAAGGTGAAGGTTTGTTCTTGTTGAGCATAATCCTCTTTACGTGAGTATGAAATGAAGAGTATTGTCATTAGCATGTTGAGGTGAAATCTGGGACATCCTCTGATCTTGAAATTCAGAATTTGTCCCAACTAGACTGAACTTTTTATTTTTACATTTCACAGTATCCAGACATGAGTCAAGAATCTGATTCTCCATTTGTTTTCATCTGCACAAATCCCCAGGAAATGATTGTGAAGTTTCCTATTAAAGGAAATCCAAAAATCTGTAAGTCACAAGCTTTGATGGTCTAATTTTCTTTTTTTTATCTTGCACCTCACTTGTTTAACTTTTTAAAAATTTTTCTCTTTTTACCCTGTTCTATAGCATCTCAAGTATTGGAGGACTAATAAAATTATATTTTTGATAACTTTAATGTTAGGTTAACTATAGAATACCTTTTCTAAAGTGTATCCTGATTGGTCCACAATTATTGGCATGCTAATGAATCATTCTAAACTTCACATTAGGACCCCAATACATTTAAGTCCTCTTTGTCAGCCAAAAGAGTGCGCTTGTTCTGCTATACTGCTCAGTGGCAACATTGTTATTTACCCATTGTTCCTCAGTATTCAATCCAAGAATAAGACAACTTTTTAAGTGTCTATTCTTAATTATCTATTTTGGAGGCATTACCCAAATTCCCTCTCTCCCTCCCCCCAATTTCCTTGATCACTGGTTTCTAGAGTTTTGTCCTAAGCCTCTTGCTTTTAATCTCTTTTTGAAACATCGTGATGATTTCTTTTTCTGTAACTTTTGCTTTAATGTATTTGTGATTATAGTACCCTCTTTATATTCACTTCTTAGGAAGTGCTTGTTGATTACTCTTTGAACCCTCAACTTTTCTTCATCTTCCATCTTTTCTTTCTCTGTCTGGTCCTACAGGAGTCTCTTCTGTTTCAAAGCAATCTAAGGAAACATGTGGTATCCTTTCTGTCTAACTTTCTTTATTTTTTAAAAAATATATTTTATTGATTTTAGAGAGGAAGGGAGAGGGAGAGAGAGATAGAAACATCATTGATGAGAGAGAATCATTGATTGGCTGCCTTTTGCACGGCCCTTACTGGGGATCAAGCCTGCAACCCAGGCATGTGCCTTTGGCTGGAATCAAACCTGGGATCTTTCAGCCCACAGACTGATGCTCTATCCATTGAACAAAACCAGCTAGGGCTGTCTAACTTTTTTTAAAAAAACAACATCAACTATTCTCACATTTGCTCATATCAGTTACTATCTTGTGCCTATGTGACATTGCTTTCCCACTGTGAACTGGATGATTTTGGGGCATGCATTGTCTTCAGCTGTGCACAACTCTATCTTACCTGTTACCTTGGAGGCCAACTAGCCACTTTATAAATCTTTTCTGTGGAGAAGGGCTTCTTAAACTATCCTATATATAATAATAAAAGGGTAATATGCAAATTGTCTCCTTGACCAGGAGTTCACCCGCCAGCTGGACCCCACCCAAGCACAAATTCATGCACCAGGCCTCTAGTTATATAAATGAAAATCATGTATAGAGCTGTTAAGACAGAATCCTAGGCCTTTTCCCAAGTGGTACTGATGGTTTTGGTCAACTGAGTACACTTTGAGTAATACTGCTTTCAATCACAAAACGAAATGCTTTGAGTATGAACTTAAATTAATGTATATTCACTATAAAATTCAGGCAACCCTCATGATTTAAATAACACATATGTTCCTAAGTTTCCTACAAATCAGAAAATCTGAACATAAGTTGCCTTTAACTTATACAAATTATTTACTTCAGACTTTACCCCAATGGGTAACCAAGTGGCCCTGGAAATTCTTTTCCCTTCTTCTACACTGTATAGGATTTAAATCTCTCTTTTCCTCCCCTTTGTGGTTGTGGCATTCTACCCTTTTCTTCTCTGTTCCATTCTCACCTTACTCTAGGCTCTGATAGCAAGAGGAAATGTGGTATGTCTCTTTTGTCAAACCCACTGCTACCTTGATCTTTACCTTAGTTACCTTTTCTTAGCTTCCTCCTTTATCTTCATTTTTATCTACTGTTTAAGCTCCCATGAGAAAATGTTCTCTGTACACAGAGTTTAGATACTTCTGTGAAATGTTTTACTTCAGTACTATCTCTACCCAGACAGAGACTCACCTTCAGCACATATATGGCCTTCATTTTTTTTCTGTAAGGTTTAATAAGGTTGGGGAGTGATGATCTTAGGGTGCAAACTTTTTAAAAAAATATATATTTTATTGATTTTTTTACAGAGAGGAAAGGAGAAAGATAGTTAGAAACATCGATCAGCTGCCTCTTGCACCCATCCCCCACTGGGGATGTGCCCACAACCAAGGAATATACCCTTGTCTGGAATCGAACCCAGGACCCTTCAGTCTGCAGGCCAATGCTCTATCCACTGAGCCAAACCAGTTTCAGTAGGGAGCAAGCTTTAATAACCTCCTGTCTTTCCCCATTGTTTTTATTAGTTAAAAGCTTTTAAAAGCCAAAATGGAATATATATTTGTTTTAGGGACAACAGAGCTACGTATGTGGAAATTATGAGCTTATAGCTTCTTTCATGATAGACCAGTCAAGGTGAAAAAACATTGGTCAGAAACAATAGGTAGCGAAAATTGGTGTGTGTTTTTTGTTTTAAAAAATATATATTTTATTGATTTTACACGAAGGAATAGAGAGGGATAGATAGTTAGAAACGTCGATGAGAGAGATACATCGACCAGCTGCCTCTTGCACACCCCTCACCGGGGATGTACCTGCAACCAAGGTATGTGCCCTTGACCGGAATCGAACCCGGGACCTTTCAGTCCGCAGGCGGACGCTCTATCTACTGAGCCAGACCAGTTTTGGCTGTTTTTTAAAAGGAAAGAGTAGGCTCACCAACCCCTGTGTGTCTCGGAAAAATAAATTCAATTGAGAGGAAACCAGAGTGAAGATTTAGTCTGGTGTAAAGTTTCTGTTCTCTGTAACTCCCCATTCCTTTATTCTTCATTCAATTTTATCATCTCTAAAACTTTACACTCTGCCAGAACTTCCTTGCCTTAGGCCGTAGGGGCCACCTTCAGTAGTTTACAGCTTTGAGAGTCTAATCCCACTGCCACAGGGAAAAATATATATAGTTGGCTTTTAATTTGGAATTCTAGTTTATTCTAGATACATTGTTACTTGAAGTGGTTAAGTTCCATAATATTAATAATATAGTTACTATTCTACTTCAATTACTGCTATAACTAGTTTAAATTAAAAAAATGGTTTTTGTGGAATGGCTTAGGAACCTAACCACCTTTTATAGATTAGTTCTATGAGAAATATATTCCAAGTTCTAAACTTCTGACTTGCAAATAAACTTTTAGAATACAACCCATTTACCTGTTGTGTCATATGTATCTATACCAATAAAAGGGTAATATGCTAATTAGACTGGGTCAACTGGCCATCTTCTGGGTGTCTGATGTCCTTCTGGACAAAATCATGGTGCTGGAGGCTGAGGCAGAGGTAGTAGATAGAGGCGATCAGGGTGGCCTGGGAGAGTAGTTGGAGGTGAGATCAGGCCAACGGGGTTAGAGGAAATCAGGCTGGGAGGGGAGGGCATTTGGGGGTGAGATCAGGCTGGGAGGGGAGGGCATTTGGGGGTGAGATCAGGCTGGCAGGGGAGGCAGTTAGAGGTGATCAGGCAGGCAGAGGCAGTTAGGGGTGATCAAGGGAGGGCAGTTGGGAGCAAGATCAGGCCAGTAAGGGAGAGCAGTTAGGGGTGATCAGGCAGGCAGGCAGAGGGGTTAGGGGCAACAGGCAAGCAGACAGGCAGAGGCAGTTAGGGGTGAACAGGCAGGCAGGCAGGTGAGTGGTTAGGAGCCAGCAGTCCCAGATTGCAAGAGGGATGTCCAATTACCAGTTTAGGCCTGATTCCACTGCCGGCAGTCAGACATCCCCCAAGGGGTCCCTGATTGGAGAGGGTGTAAACTGAGGAAACCTCTCCCCCAACCCCCTGTGCACAAATTTCGTGCACCAGACTACTAGTATATGTATATATGCCTTCAATGAAAGGTATACATTTTGATTTATATTTTTGGACATGTAAACTTGAACTTGCTTGACCTGGGGATAATCATGTTTCTTGAATTTGAAATAATTTAGAAAAGAGCAATGTGCAATATGTTATCATTTGGCTGTGCTCAAATTATGAAATACAAAAATATTTAGTATAGTAGAATATATAGGTTGAATGTTCAAAGAGATAAAGGAATCGTTTTACTTTAAATAAACTACATGCTCTATAAACTCATGCAAATACTGCCTTATATTTTATGCAAAGCATGTGAAAATCCCTATGAGAGTTATATCAATGGATGGCAAATACTTTTTCCCTTTCAACTTCTAGCCCATCTGTTGCACATGCATTTGATTTTCTCTTAGGCACCATGATTGAGGATGTGGTTTAGTATTAAAATGCTGCAGGTACTAAATGAAAAAGTATTGGGAAATACAGAAACTAAGGATTATCACTCTGCTTTTAAGAGAGTGTATACTGTGTGTTACATTAGTTAACTGTCCAGATCCCAAATCCAGGCTGAACTGGAACTCAAAGTTCAGAGTCCATGTAATCCAAGGGCAGCCATGATGACTGCTTCTTCATGCAAGAAGCCCCAGTCCCTTGCCCTCATTGCCCATAGCTGACCCACGAATTGTTACTATTGGCAGTCACTGTGGTAGATGCAAAGAAGTCCTTATTTGTTAGGAGCACACAGATTGCTGGCACATGTACAGTTGTGTGTGTGTGTGTGTGTGTGTGTGTGTGTGTGTGTGTGTGTGTTGTTTTTAAGAGAGCCTAGGGGATGAAAAGAACTTCTGAATCCCTGGAAATGCCTTGGAAATCCTTCCTCCTCCTTCCTCCTATTAGTTTTCTATTTTATGACATCATAATTGAAGTCAGAGATTAGTCTGCCTACCACTGAGTGCTTTGCTCTGATGGGTTGATCTTACCTGAGCTGGTCTTACTTGAAGATTGTCATAACCAGATAGCAGTTTTCTAAAAATTATACTTAGAAAATTCTTATACAGTAAAGCTTTGAGAGTGTGAAGAAGGTAATATCTCTTTTTTTTTTTTTAATATGAGGAATCTGAAATGAATATAATGAAAACACTTGGCTAAAGTTATATGGTAAATTAAAAGTAAAACTGAGACCTTAACTAAGAAATACAGCTCCCAAGCCTCAACTACTTTTTCAGAGAACTTTGAGTTTATGAAGCACTTTAATATATATGTTTTCAATTAGTTATTTGATTAAATAACAGTGTATGTAAAATACTTAGCACAGCACTTGGTATATAGAAAGCACTTAATGTTAGCTAGAATCCTTTCAGCAACTTTGTAAGTTGGTAGGAATTTTTCCTCCTTTCATTTTTAGTTGAGTAAACAGGTTTATAGGAATTGTATTTCTGCTTCTAGGTTTCCAGCTCTTTTTTAAGTTTTATTTATTTTTTTCATATTGCCTCAGAAACAAATCATTCCAATTTACATTTCATTTTTAGAACGTAATATCTTAGGGCTGGAAAGAGCCTTCAGTACTATGTAGTCTAGTTTCTTAGCATTAAAAAGATTGAGGACAAGAGTGACTGGGTGACTTCCTTCAGATTATACAACTAGGCAGTCTCAGGACTAAAACTGGTACCTGGTTCTTCCAGCTTATTCAATAAAGAGAACTAGAAGTCTGGAGTCCTAGATGGAATTCTAAATTCTGGCCTTGCTTATTCTAAAAAGCTGAATAATACATTATACTTCTTTGTACCTCTGGGTACCACGGCCTTTACCATGAGTACTCTTAATATTATCTATTTTTGGTAATTCATTAGCCCCTACAAGTAAAGGTTTTGTAGTGTTTGCCTTCTTTGTTTAATTCATTTGATGAAAACATTTATTGAGAGCCTATCATTTGGTAGTGTTAGAGATACGAAGGCAAACTTGCCTTGTTTTTTAATCCTCACTGAAGTAGTGAGGATATTTTTCCCTTTAAATTTTAGAGTGAAAGGAAGTGGGGGGGAGAAAAAAAGGGAGAGAGGAAGAGAAACATTGATATGAGAGAGACTCATTGATTGGTTGCCTCCCACATTCCCACATGCACCCCAACTCAGGGTGAGAATCAAGCCTGCGATCCAGATATGTGTCCTTGATTGGGAATTGAATCCAAGACCCTCTGGTGCACAGGCCAATACTCTAACCACTGAGCCGTGCCAGCCAGAGCCAAACTTGCCTTGTAATAGGGTTCTTTGCCTGATTGTTGGCACTTGTTCAGATTTCCAACCAGGCAGCCTAAGGGATGAAAGAACTTCTAAATCCTTGGGAATATTCTGTGCTCTAAAGCCCAAATTAAAATCAGCAGCATTGTAAAAATAAAATAAAATCAACAGCATTGTGAATACTGTGGATGACAGTTAGGTTATCATTTAGTGATGGTTTCTGAGAAAGCCCAGAAAAGAAGTAATGTTATTCCAGAAGCAGGTATAGCCCTTGAGAGATGGGAGAGGGGAAAAGAAATTTAGAAAAACAGGAAACTTGTTAAGTTGTAGTTATTTTTCTCACAGTCTCTTTTTGCAATAGTCATGACGTGTTCTTTTTCTTTTAAAAAAATTATTTGAAAGAGAGAGAAAAAAACATCGATTTGTTGTTCTACTTACTTACGCATTCATCGAATAATTCTTGTATGTGCCCTGACGGGGAAGCAAACCCGCAACGTTGGTGTATCAGGATGATGCTTTAACCATCTGAGCTGCACAACTTGTATTCTTAATTGGGCAAATGAGGATATTGAAATCCAGAGGAACAGTGACCTGCCCCAGGTCATACAGCTTGTTAATATCAGACAAGAACCTGAGTCTCCTGACTCCTACTCTAGTGCTCTTTTACACCTGATTGCTGCAAGAAATGAAAACGACAGCATATTGGGGGCAAAGGTTGTAGGTATGGGCCTGTAATACATGTGATCCTTGTTTTAGTTTTTTGTTGTTGTTGTTTATTGTTTTAGTTTTTTGTTGTTGTTGTTTATTTTGTTTGTTTTGGGGGGGAGGGTTTAGTGCCAAGGATGATGTTCAACTTAATTGTTTCTGTTTCCAGCATTAGCATTGCTATGGACTAAAATGAGACCTTTTTTGAAGAAAGCAACCTGCACACTGTTCTCAGGCCAGACAGACAGGAAGGAACTCAAGATTCTTTCTCTTCATGAGATGGATGGCTCCTCAGGCTGCTACCACTGAACTAAACTCTGTCCTGGTAGATCTGAGGAGTCAGAGGTTAGAGACCACAGGTTCTTTACTCCTAAAGAAGGTCACCTGGGACAGGACGGTTGCTTGTTTTCTAACTTTAACGCTTAGAAGAGTCATACAGCCTCTGACCTTTACCCTTCTTAGCTGGTGATAGGGGCCCTTTGTCAGTACAGCATTCATGTGGATTCTACTCCACTGTTTCAGGTCACTCCCCCTATTAAGTCAGAGGCAGGAAAGGGGTGAGTTGAACTGCTTTTCTCATTGTGAGGGAGGTTCATGCATTATGCTCAGTGAGTTAACAGGTCAGAGGAATGGGTTTCCCACTGTGTGAAATGCCTTTCTCTGTTATATTTTATAATCATTAAAAACTTGCCTTAGTATTAGACACCCTGGAAAAGGTGATGTTTCTTTCCTACTAACTACAAAGTTAGAAATATTAACTTAGATTCTTTAGGCGAATACTCACTGTGTCTGTGTGCATGCTTTTGTATCTCTGTATGGCGTTCCCACTGCTTCCTCATTCTTACAGAATGCAACTCTGAAGTTTGAAAGTGTCAAGATAATTGAATGTGACGGGAACACAGTCACCAGAAGATCTGGGAGGCCATGAAAAATTTGCATTGCAAATATAAAAAATAAATAATAAGGCTTCTTTTTCTCCCTTACAGGGAAACTGGATTCCAAGATCCATCAAGGCGCAAAGAAGGGGTTAATGAAGCAGAATAAAGCTGTCTGACCCAGGAGAAAAGGAACTATACAGCATAATGGAGTTTTGTGTACTAAAATTGTTATCCGTTGGTCCTTTGGAACTGAAGCAGTAAAAATCTCAAGGCTTGGAATCAAGCTTGACACTCTCAGAATTTAAACTCTTAACAAACTTGTATATTTTTCTTAAGGAGTGGGATTCTTTATGTAGTGGGTCAAAATCTTTGAATACATTATTTATAAAAACCTATTTTAAAAATTCTAGGTTTTGACATTTTTTTTTCAGAATGGCATAATTATTCCAACTTGTATAATACCTTGGGAAAATTCTTAACCTAGGTTAATGATTTTGGAGGGACCACTTGAATTTTGAGGTTCCTCCCGCCCCCTCCAAATGATAGCCTCATAGACAATTTGGATGTCTGAGAAATCCTGTGTTTGATACAAACCTGTGATAGGACCAAAAGCTTCTTTGGCAGATTTAAAAAAATATGTTTGTTTTTTTTTAAAGAGATAATCTGAAGAGGTGCAACCACTTTGTTCTCTGGTTTGAGACATTAGGCATAAGAAGATCAGACTGGGAGGAGATGGAGCCACCTGCTAAAGCAGCATGAAACTGCCCTATTTATTTTGTTGGTATTGCAAAAGCATCACTTGGATGGGGCAATTAGAAACAAACTGAAAAGTAAAATCCCTTCAGTAATTGCATCCAAATACCCCCAGATGCTGAAACCAAACCCTTTAAACCATCCACACCCCAGGAAGCTATGAGTTTTGGAAAAATAGGAGTTTGGTTTGAAATGAGATTTTTACTAGTCAGTCTGGCCCCACTTAGTGAAGCCTTTCTTCTGAGGCTGTTCAGAAGAGCTATCAGAATCTCAGTTGCTGGTATCAGGAAATTCATGGTCTTAAATGTGTATGTTCTACTTTTTATGAAGCAGCACCACCACACTGGGGAAGTTGGATCCCCTCCAGCAGTTGTGTGCATGACTTAAAAAGAGAGCGCAAGGGAGAGAAAAAAAATGCCCTGTGTTATGAAAAAGATTAATTTCCCCTTTCTTTAATCCTTCATATTCAGCATTTATTTGCATGGAAATACCTCCACTCATTATGCATTGATGTTCACTCAACTGTGAACCCTGCTTGTTGCATAGCATTAGGCACTGGTTTTGAGGGGGCCTGGTCACTCTGGATTTCCAGGGAAAACCCACCTGATTCTGTTCTGGTGATGAAAACATGCAGTATTTTCTTTCCTTTTCTGTTCAACCTCTATAGAGAAAATGGAAAGGATAACTAATGGCATGTCTTTAGGGGGAAAAGTCTCCTTCTGGCGTCCTACAGACCCTGGTACTGTTAGTGAATCCACATTAGGTTCACTATGCAGTTACTTTACCAAGCAGTAGCACCATGAATTCTGAGCTGGAATTATCTAAATTTTCTTTCATTTTTTAAAATATACTTTTATTGATTTCAGAGAGGAAGGGAGAGGGAGAGGGACATGGAAACATTAATGATGAAAGAGAATCATTGATAGTCTGCCTTCTGCATGTCCCCTATTGGGGATTGAGCCTGCAACCTGGGCATGTGCCCTGACCAGGAATAAAACTGTGACCTCCTGGATCATAGGTGGATGTTCAACCACTGAGCCACACTGTCATTTATTTTCTTACTACCAAAATAAAACCAAAAGGCAGGAGGTAGAGAGTCTAGGGCTAGAAGAAGAAAAGTTTATCTGCCTTTTTATTTAAATGACAGCCTGAGCACAGAATAGTCTGGATTGATTTTTCCACCCGGATTGATTGTGTGCATGCCTAAAGAAAAACATCAGGAACTGTAAGAGTTCAGGTTATGAAACCATTTTGTGTACCATGATAACAAAGTTTATAAGGACCTTCCAAGTTTATAAGAACCACCTCACATCCAAAATATGCAGCTGGAGCCACATGAGAAAATGGCAGAGTAACTTGGAAACTTCTTTTCATGACTAGACTGTGAAAGTCTGTCTTTAGTTCACGTGGTGGTGGTATAAGGTCCCTTATTTGCAGACACCAGAGAGGAAGTGTGGGAGAGACTTGAGGGTAGATGGCCCTCCATTGCTCAGTGATGAGTAGCATAACTTAAAGCTTAGTGGAAATAATTAGCCTGAATATAAACACACAGGAATAGCCAGCCTCTTAGTTTTTTACACCACTTTGCTCTGTCCTTGCAACTCTAGGACAGCTTGGCGTGAGGGAAGTTCCATGGTTCAGAGCTGGTTTTCTTTTGCGCCTCCTTTTGGCTGGTTGGGTTCAGTGGCTCGCATTTACATAGTATGGTACCTAAAGGATTCAGTGTTTTTATTTTTGTTTTCCAGACAGGACCCAATCTTCATTATATAAGCTCAGAGTAGGCTATGGGTAATACCGGTTTTCTCTGTCAGGATTTTGGAGGCTTTGTCCTTGCAGTCAGATGTTTGAAATGGAGTGAGGTGTTTTTTGTTTATTTTTTGTTTTAACTTTTTGCTTGCTATAGCTAATCTGGAGAAAGAGAACTATGTGTCCCCTCTTTCCTTTTAAGCAGGAAGTTTACAGAAACCCATTTTTTCCTAGGGAGGAGGTATGAAAAATTTAGACTTTCAAGACTACTTTTACAAATAATTACAAAGTTATGAGTTATAACCCCAAATCTTTTTCCATTTTAAGTACTGTCTCTACTAAAGTGTATTTATGTGGATTTCATTTACTTTGGTAATTTTTTTAATGCTTTTGCTAGAGCTCTTAGCCAAGATTGAGACAGTATGGGAGTTGTTCTTCTGCCCAGCTAGAAAAGGCCAGTAAAAAAGCAAGCATCTATTAAACTAGAGAAATCAGCTAACTTTAGTTTATTAGGCCTGTGGGGAGGAAAGAAAGTCCTGTGATGAAGGATGTGTTCTCCCTGAGATTCAAATAAATCTGCTGTTCTCAGCTTCCATGAATGTGTTTAGAGGGAGGTGATCCGTATCACAGGTTCCATCCCCAACAAGGGTCCAGCATTTGGAAAGCTTTTCTACTTCTCTCATGCAGAGAAGAAAGAACATATACACAGTGCCATCCTGACACAAAGACACTTGTGTGTGCACATAGCGTGGATTAATTCATGAGGTGAAACTTGGTAAACTGATCAGATTTCAGATTTTAATTGACAATGGAGAGCTAGAAATAAAACCTAGTAAATTTTGAACCTTAGCTTGGAGTCAGTTAAATAGAGCCAAAGAAAGGGGAGCTAGGAGTCAGACTAAGTATCCATTGAGAGGTATGTCATAGGAGAGGAGTTAGATGTTGGGACAAGGGACAAAAAAAATGTCAGTACAGAAGACTAGAGAAGAGTCTAGAGCTGTATTGTCTAATATGGTAGCCACCAGCAACATGCAGTTATTTAAATGAAATTAAGAATTCATCAGTCACATTAACCATATTTCAAGTGCTCAAATAGCCACACGTAGCTAATTACTTTTAAAGTAGATAGTGCAAATATAGACCATTTCTAACATTGCAAAAAGCTCTATTGGACAGCGCTTGTTTGCAGCAGGGATCAACATACTTTTTCAGTAAAGGGCCAGGTAGCAAACATTTCAGGCCATACAACCTGTTACTATTCTACTCCGCCATTGTAATGCAAATGTATCCAAGATAATAAGTGAATGAGCTAATGAAACTTTATGAACACTGAAATTTGAATTTCATACCATTTTCACATCGCAAATTTTTAAAAAAATACATTTTATTGATTTTGTACAGAGAGGAAGGGAGAGAGAGTTAGAAACATTGATGAGAGAGAGTCATTGATCAGCTGCCTCTTGCACACCCCCTACTGGGGATATGCCCGCAACCAAGGTACATGCCCTTGATCAGAATCGAACCGAGGACCAGTCAGTCCCCAAGCCGACGCTCTATCCATTGAGCCAAACCGGTCTCGGCCACATCGCAAAATTTTATTTTTTATTTTTCAGCCATTTAAAAATGTAAAAACATTATTTTTAAAAATATATATTTTAATTGATTTCAGAGAGAAAGGGGAGAGGGAGGGAGGGAGAAGAGAAACATCAATGATGAGAGAGAATCGGTGACCTGCTGTCTACTGCATGCCCCTCTCTGGAGATTCGGTCCATAACCCGAGCATGTACCCTTGACCAGAATCAGTCTGCAAACTGACTATCCACTGAGCCACACCAGCCAGGGCTGTAAAAACATTCTTCGCTCATGAACCTGATTTGACCTCTGGGCTGCAATTTTGCCAACAACCTTAGTCTAGAGTAGGGGTGTCGAACTCAATCAGAGAAGGGGCCAAAATCTAAAATCCAGCCTAAGTCACGGGCCGAATGGTTTACTGAACAGTCATAAACTGTCATTGTGATGGAAACGCAGCGGAGTGCAGTGATGACAGCGCGGTGCGGGCCACATTGCAAGGCCTGGCGGACAGATTTGGCCCGCGGGCCTTGTGTTTGACACATGTGGTCTAGAGGAACAGGAAGTTAAAACTTAATATTCTTTTTACTGAACAGGCATCATTCACTTGATAATTTTTAGTAGTTCTTCCAGACCTGAGAACTTTCTCTGGTTAAAAATTGGGGTTCAAAGTAGCAATGTTTTTCCTTTGTTTCCTATTTTTACAGCTCAGTCTCCAGCAGGTCATGTTCTTCAGTGGGAGATGATTACTCAATTATTAATCCATAATTAAGTCTAAACATTTTAACACTTAAATCTAAAACACTAAACTCTATTTTTTTTTAATTTTTTAAAATATATTTTGCTTTTTCACAGAGAGGAAGAGAGAGGGATAGAGAGTTAGAAACATCGATGAGAATCATCGATCAGTTGCCTCTTGCACACCCTCTACTGGGGATGTGCCTGCAACCAAGGTACATGCCCTTGACCGGAATCGAACCTGGGGCCTTTCAGTCCGCAGGCCAACGCTCTGCCCTCTGAGCCAAACTGGTCCCGGCTAAACTCTATTCTTTCTCTTCCTACTAAGGAGCTGAATTCTCACTTGTAGTATATCACTTAGTACAGATTGGAAGTTTGCTGTCACCTGAGATCAATTCTGTCCTTACACTGTCCTAAACAAGTTGAATATTGGTGGACCAAAGGGAGATTATCTTCCTAGGCCAGACACCTTAGTATTTATCTTTAGCAAACCCCCTGCCCCCCCCCCCCCCCCACAATACACACTTTTTGTGTAGAGGTGGAGAGTAAAGGTATTTTATGACCTGACTCTCTCAAGTCACATACTATCTTGAGTGGC